CTAATATTTTCAGTAAAGTTCAATAATAATATTTATCTACACAAATGACAAATAATAAAACAAGTTAAAGATAGAAACCTACAAAAAAAGTTAATATACTATATACATAATACTTAAAATAAATAACTATAAAAATTCGTCTATATAAACCTATATTTAACGATGAGTTGACAACTCATATTAAAATAAGAAATAAGCATATTGAAAAATAAATAATGTTTAATAATTTCAAACAATATTTGTTATTTTATTTTCATTATTAAATATAATACGTAACCGAACGAAGTAATACTAGCCGTTTTTTTATTTATACCTTACATAATACATCATATTTTAATCTTATAAACTATAATTAACTTTGGTTTATAGTTAATTTCTTATAAATTGACAATTGTGTTTTTATTTGTTAAGGTACACATTTTTTTAACCATAAATGTGATTAATTGTACATTATTTAATGATTGTGATGGAATAACAAGTAAAAAATAACATAAGAGATTTAAAATTAATAATTCTATGAACAATATTATAATGATATTTTACTTACACCATCACCGAAACGCAAAATTGTTCACTTGACTTAAGAGTTATAATCATTTATATGATCCAGTGACAACAATATTTTTGAATGAAGACTATTCAATTTTATATTTACGTATATTACACAAAATATTGACATAATTTGATATAATATGTATGTCTACCACGCAAGAAGTTGAATCCTTCCATTTACATTCATCTTATGTTCAATTATTACTTATTTGTGAGAGATAAGAGAAATACATAATATCATGTTTGTAGATTACGTAACAACATCAATAAACATTTTTTTTGCACTAAATCCATATCATTTAAATTTAAATTACATTTTTAACTAAAATAATAATTTATTATTAAAATATACGATAACTGAAGTCTGAAGACCAATTTCATGTTACATCAGGAACTATTCTTTAATGTATATATTATTATTTTGTGTATGATATCTCAAATCAGGATACTTACATATTATACATAGTTAACTGATACAATGTATAAATATTAATATAGTTTAACTATTTAAGTTAAGAAAAAAATAGTAATAAAGTGTTATATTTTAATTTTGTATGTTTATTAGTGTACGTGGGGTAATTGTTGTGTACGATAATAAATTGATACAATATCACTAAACAGAAAAAAAAAATTTACGCAAAACGAAATAATTATGGTTGTTTTTATAAAATTATGCCACACAAAAATAAAATGTATTTTTCCAATTTTTATTGATTTAGTGTAAATATTTTTTAGTAAAAAATTTGAGAACTGTATTCCCGTATCGTGATTGTTGCGGCAAAACCGATTTAATATCATTATTAAATTTGTAATGTTATTGTAAGTTCAACATTAAGCCCTGAATGCCCCTGATCTTAGTGGCCATACATACACAATGGCGCCTATGATTATTGTGCAGTAGACTTTTGTTAAAAGGACGTTGTACACGTAGCTGTTGCCGTAAACACACAATATTCTGTATGAAAAAAATAAAAACATTATTCGTTTCATAAATGCCAACTCGTTTTAGAGCGTTGTGATCTACCGTCGCGCTACTACACCGTTATACGACTACGGCTCACGAAAAAACGAACCTAAACACTCGTACAACACTGCGCATGGAAACCACTAACCAGGTCTGTTCGATCGTCGATAGTCGACATTCACAGTGACTGCGTTTTTGTGCTCGGTCGGCGAGATAACGCTACTGAACGGCGACCAAAATTCGTTCGTTCTCGCGCATTCCCACCACCAAACCTGACAAAACGCTAGCCGCTAACAGTCGCCGCTTTGTAAGGGGGGAAATTAGCACTGCGGTTATATCGTGATAGAGTGGGAGAAGAAATTTGGGTACGAAACTGTGAGCTCGTTCGTTATAAGGCGCGTCTACGGAAGTACTGAGTAGTGACTGGTGTTCTCTCGCGCTTTGGAGTATGGTGTTCGCACGTGTAGTAGCGTCGTACCCACAATCGCTAATACTTAAGTTTGTGCACGATTTTGATATATTATACTTTTTTAACTGTTTCTTTCACGTTGTATTGTTGCGTTGTTTCAATATTTTCAAATCGACATTTATATTATGGACAATCAAAACGAACCGATACCCATTAAAAGGAATCGCAGAGGAAAAGTAAGAATATCAAAATATTTTTTAATAGGTATTGCAATAGTTATCGATATTCTGTGTTTAGATTTAAAATTAAATATAATATTCTGTAATGTTTGTATTGTAAAGAAATATTATTTTAATAATAATAAAAAAAAAGCGTTTTGATGACGACGATATTTTCGTAAAACATTTATCATTATCATAGTTGCAGGATACTTATTTATTCTATAATATAAAACAAAGACATTTAATAGATACATTTTTATAAAGACGTATAATTCTTATGGAATAATTTATTTCTCCAAATTTATTTTACAATAACAAATCCTACCTTAAAAATAAGAATCATTAGTTTTTTAATATTAAGTACCAAAAATAAATTATAATTTGTTTTATTATGAATAGTAAAAACCGATTAAAAATGTATAATATATTATTATATTTTCTAGATTGTTCATTTAGACCAAAAAAAAAAAATTATTTATTTATACATTGATCTCAAGAAAAAAGAACCTGATATTAAGTATTTAGATTTAGTAGATAAATTGTCAGAAGAAAGTGGTATCGGAATTGGAACAGTTAGAAAAACATTGAGTGAGTATAAGTCTTCTGGCACAGTATCTTCACCAATAAATAAGAAAAGACGATTATCAATCATCGAAAAAGTGG